GTGACTCAAAAATAAAATAAAATAACAGCAAAATAAAAATTTTTAAAAATAGAGGTCTGGTCAGGCACGGTGGCTCACGTGTGTAATCCCAGCACTTTGGGAGGCCAAGGTGGGCAGATCACCTGAGGTCAGGAGTTTGAAACCAGCCTGGCCAATATGGCAAAACCCCGTCTCTACTAAAAATACAAAAATTAGCCAGGCGCAGTGGTAGAGGCCTGTAATCCCAGCTACTCAGGAGGCTGAGGCAGGAGAATCACTTGAACCCAGGAGGCGGAGGTTGTAGTGAGCCAGGATGCCGCCATCTCACTGCAGCCTGGGCGACAGAGCGCGACTCTGTCTCAAAAAAAAAAAGAAAAAAGAAAAAAGAAAAAAAAATAAGAGGTCCCACACTCGACCCAATGTGGTGGTTAGTACAGCACAGGAAACCCAGCACAGCATTGGTGAAGCAAGAGCTAGGATCAAATCCCCGCTCTTAATGAGTCTAGTCCCCATTATGCGGCAGGCAGGTAATCTCAAAGGTCATGCATGCCTCAGTGAGAGAATTCACGGATGCCAAACAGCATGAAACCACTAGAGACCTGCAGAGATTTTTGAGCAACTGGCTGGGCAGCGTATCTCACAGGACAGAGTCACAGGCCTAAGGGGCCAGCCCAAAAGCAGCCAGGTTACAGCAGAGATTAATGGCTCCCAGGACATAGCACTAGAGCCTGAGCACAAAGACTTGAGACATCGTCCCCTTTTCCCTGAATCTAGGGCTATGAGAATGTGTTCATTATCACACGCGTTTGAACCAGAGCAACTCCATCTTGAATAGGGGCTGGGTAAAATGAGGCTGAGACCTACTGGGCTGCATTCCCAGACAGTTTAGGCATTCTAAGTCACAGGAAGAGAGAGGAGGTCAGCACAAGATACAGATCATAAAGACCTTGCTGATAAAACACGTTTCAGTAAAGAAACCGGCCAAACCCACCAAAACCAAGATGGCGCTGAGAGACCTGGTCGTCCTTACTGCTACACTCCTGTCAGCCCCATAAAAGTTTACAAATGCCATGGCAATGTCAGGAAGTTACCCTATCTGATCTAAATAGGGGAGGCATGAATAATCCACCCCTTGTTTAGCATATCATCAAGAAATAACCATAAATATGGTCAACCAGCTGCCCTCGGGGCTGCTGTCTATGGAGTAGCCATTCTTTTATTCCTCTACTTTCTTAATAAACTTGCTTTCTCTTTATAGACTCACCCTGAATTCTTTCTTGCCTGAGATCCAAGAATACTCTCTTGGGGTCTGGATCGGGACACTTCTGCCACTTTGAAAAGAGCCAAAGAAGAAAGACAACTCTTTTTTTTTTTTTTTTGAGACGGAGTCTCGCTCTGTTGCCCCGGCTAGAGTGCAGTGGCCGGATCTCAGCTCACTGCAAGCTCCGCCTCCCAGGTTCACGCCATTCTCCTGTCTCAGCCTCCCGAGTAGCTGGGACTACAGGCGCCCGCCACCTCGCCCGGCTAGTGTGTTTTGTGTTTTTTAGTAGAGACGGGGTTTCACCGTGTTAGCCAGGATGGTCTCGATCTCCTGACCTCGTGATCCACCCGTCTCGGCCTCCCAAAGTGCTGGGATTACAGGCTTGAGCCACCGCGCCCGGCCAAGAAAGACAACTCTTAACAAGACTGTTGTACTGATGATTGCAGAAAAGACTGAGATATCAAAAATTGGCAAATTTACACAATAAACGAATTTTCCAGTTTCCAAGAACATTTAATCAGAGTGACAGAACTGTCCATCTACTGCCACTGAAGTTGCAAAACGGAATTATGTAACTGTTTCACTGTGTGAAGCTAAACTGTGTTTGGAGATTATGTGTCTACCTCTGTCAGTTAATGGATGAAGTATTAGAAATGAATCAGGGTAAGTGGGAGTGTTAAAAAGAGATGTGGCCAGCATGGTGGCTCACGCCTGTAATTCCAGCACTTCAGGAGGCCGAGGCGGGTGGATCACAAGGTCAGGAGATCAAGACCATCCTGGCTAACATGGTGAAACTCCGTGTCTACTAAAAATACAAAAAAATATTAGCCAGGTGTGGTGGCGGGCACCTGTAGTCCCAGCTACTCGGGAAGCTGAGGCAGAATGACGTGAACCCAGGAGGCGGAGCTTGCAGTGAGCCGAGTTGCGCCACTGCACTCCAGCCTGAGGGACAGAGCGAGACTCCGTCTCAAAAAGAAAAAGAGATGTACAGGCCAGGCATGGTGGCTCACACCTATAACCCAGCATTTGGGGAGGCCGAGGAGGAAGATAGCTCAAGCCCAGAAGTTTGACATCAGCCTGGGCAACATGGCGAAATCCTCTCTCTACAAAAAAATTAGTCTGGCATAGGGGTGTACGCCTGTAGTCCCAGCTACTTGGGAGGCTGAGGCAGGATGATCACTTGAGCCCAGGAAATCAAGGCTGCAATGAGTAAAGATCGTGCCACTGCATTCTAGCCTGGGCTACAGGATACCCTATCCTGAAAAAATTTTTTAAATGAGGTTTTGGGAGCTTCTATGCAAGGTGATAATTGCAGAGAACTGAGACTCAACTGCAAACAGGTGATACATTTTGTTGTGCTATTTATTGATTAAAGGACAAAACAGCAAGATGAAAGATCACTAATATTTTTTGAACTCCCACTACATGCCAGGTACCACACCATTGTCACACCTGGCCCACCAGAGATCTTCAATAAATGTTTGTTAAAGGGATGAACGAAACCGCAACCTTCATTCTGCAAAGGAAATCAAAGCTCAGGAAGATTCAGTGATTAAGATCACATTGTAAGTACTGGCAGAGCTGGGGCTTGAACCCAGGTGAGCTGATTCAAATTTACTGCTGCTTAACAAATCACCCCTACATTTAGTGGCTTCAAACCACAATGTACTACGTGTCACAATCAGGGTAGACAGGATGCAGATGGTTCTGCTGGTATTGTTTGGGGTCTTACATGCCTGCACTCAGATGGTGACAGGGATTGGGACAACAGGATGGCTTCACCCACACGTCTATCTTGGCCATTTTTGGAAACTACCATAGGTGACACTTTGTGCCACTGTGAGCACCCACAAATAGCACCTGATTGGATATTCTACCTTAGAAAGATCATTCTGGCAGTAGAAAGTGCCTTGAAGGGGAAACCAAAGGTTTTGTAAAAAGTCTACTTTGGTGATGAAGACCTGAGCCTAGACAGGAGCAGTGCACACAGCAAACAGTCCAAGGGGAAGGCAAAGATGGTCTATTCCACCACAGGTTGCAGAGCTGCCCACTGGATAACTGGATAACAGTGTCAAGGATAACAGGAGTCCTGTGTTATCCCACTGGGAGTCAGATTACAAGTATGGGTGAAATATTTTATTGAAGGGATGGAGATGAGAAAACCGAAGGAATCCTTTTAGTATTCATACCACATCCCTATCTGATCACAAGCACTGGTTATCTCATCAGCAGAAGCACTTTTCTTCAGCCATCTCTTTAAGTCAGCAAACTACTTCATGGCAGCTCCTTTGTAACCAGAGGACCCAAATTTTTCCAGAGTACGACTGGTTACCTTTTGGCTCACTGATTGACCCTCAGGTTTTTTATATTCTGACTTAACACAAAAAAGTGTTTATATAGATACATATATGTGTATATATGAAAAATATTTGTGTACATATTTCTATATATGTATGTAGAGCTGAGACAAAAGTTTTACAATGAACAGCACCTTACTCTATGCAACATACTCTTATTTCTACTCGCTTTAATCCTTTTTTTTTTTTTTTTTTTTTTTAGGAGACAGAGCCTAGGTGTGTTGCCCAGGCTGGAGTTCAGTGGCAGGATCCCAGCTCATTGCAACCTCTGCCTCCCGGGTTCAAGCGATTCTCCTTCCTCAGCCTCCCGAGTAGCTGGGATTACAGGCATGTGCCACTACGTCCCGCTAATTTTTTTATTTTTTGGTAGAGACGGGGTTTCACCATGTTGGCCAGGCTGGTCTCGAACTCCTGACTGCAAGTGATCCGCCTGCCTCGGCCTCCTAAAGTGCTGGATTATAGCCCACCCAATCCTACTTTTTAAAAATGCTGTCCATTAATGCATTCTGACTTCTTGCTTGAAAGCCCCTGGTTTAGTGAATAAGCACCTGTAACCCCAGGAAGATTCAGGATTAAGGACAGAAATAACGAAGTAAATTGAAGTCTTAGCATTAATATTTTCCATTACATTTTGGAATCGTCTAATTTTATGTATTGATGACGGTTAAAATAATTCAACATGCTAATGTATGGATTAATTTTGCAATTCCATTTTAAAATGTTAAATGGAATAACGATTCAGATTCGTTAAGTCGACATGTGTAACAGAATTCAACCACATCTGTAAACTATATTAAAATTACGTGAGTAAGATTTACCGGCCATATTTTTTAGGTTTGACATATTAGATTTGTGAGTGAACTATGTACTTGGATTTTGTCAAGTAACTCAGTCGATTAACAAAATAACAATTAAATGTATAAATGTAGTTTACAGCTATACAACATTTTTAAAAATCCCCTTCGAATGACTCTTTAAAATATATCAGGGGATATGCTACTTAAGCATAACTAGGTTTTGGATTTATAACGTTAATATTAATTATTAAAGCAAAACTCATTTCTAAATAGTCGCCTGAGAGCCCAAAAGACGCCCTCGAGGACAGGGAAGGGGCTCCGATTCACTTGGCGCTCGCCGGTGCCCAGAATTCAGGGCCGCTCAAGCGGAGAAGCAACACGTGGCCAGCAAAAGAAGCCGGGTCCCGAGCAGCACAGCAACAAGAAACTGGCCTAGGAGGACGTTGGAGCGTCTTTCTTTCGCACGTCACTGCCTGACACCGTCATTTTAAAAAATAATAAATAAAATTAGTAGTACGAAGAAAGCTGCGCAAGCCACGTTCCCAGCAGGGTCTGCGCCAAAGCGCGCAAGGAAACGCTCCCGTTCCGGGTGGGAGGAAAGGATGAACGGCCCACCCAGCGCCGGGAAGGCTCGTCCCCGAGTAGGGGACGGGAACGGATGGGTCCCGGGGACTTGGGGCGCAGGGTCTGGGGCCCGAGGCCACGGGCGCAGCGGGCAGCCGGCTAGGCAGCGGTCTCTGGGATGGACGCCGTGCCCTACGTGGAGCCTTCCACCCCGACTTCACCCATCTCTGCTGCCCGCAACTTATATGACAAGAACATCTGGAACCGGACTATTATACCGAAAGGTCCTACCCATGTCTTTTCGCCGCCAGCAAGGCCCGACTCCGGGCCGCGCGTCCCCGGCAACCGCGCCCGCCCACGCAGCTGCAGAGACCAGAGAAGGCCTGCTCGCCCGCGCTCGGCGCCACCCAGCCCGCGCTCCGGGCGATACCACCTCGGGCGGCCCCTCTAAAGGCCGGGAGATGGTGTCGTCCCCGGCCTCCGATTGGTCTGCGGGGCGGGGGCGTGGCCTCTGGAGCCTGGTTCCGCGCGCCGGAGCGCGCTAGCCGCATTGCGAGCCGAACCCGGGAGCGGGCGCCATGGTGAGGAGTGGTTGTGGGGCGCGGGCGACGCGAAGGTGGGGGCTTCGGTCTGGGTTCGCGCTTCAGACAGAGCCTGGGCCTGGGCTTGGGCCTGGGCCTGGGCGTGCGCCTGCGCCTGCTCTGGGAGTGGGTTCCGGCAGACGCGGAGGTTGAGCTGACGGTCGCGCCCCGGCTCCCGTTGCAGGTGCTGTTGCACGTGCTATTTGAGCATGCGGTCGGCTACGCGCTGCTGGCACTGAAGGAAGTGGAGGAGATCAGTCTGCTGCAGCCGCAGGTGGGTGAGATCCATGGGCTCCTCTGGCGGCCTCGCAGACCCTCACCGCGCAGGTCCCAGCATGCAGCGCGCGCTCCCACGTGGCCGGCCGAGAGGTTCGGGGCGGGGGGCGGGCCTGGAAAGCTCTAGATCCGGGGGTCTTTACCTTGACTCATGGGAAGAATCGCTCTAGCAGTTAGAAATAAGCCTCCCGGACCCCGCGCCGGAACGATTAAAGCAGAGCTGGGTTGTGGGGTCCCGCTGTCAGTATATTTTAAGAGCTTCCAAGGCTGAGAACCGCTGCTTTACTGCGCCGCAGAGGCAGGAGGGAGGGAAGGAAACCATTCAGCCTCTTTCTCCCCCACTAGGTGGAGGAGTCCGTGCTCAACTTGGGCAAATTCCACAACATCGTTCGTCTGGTGGCCTTTTGTCCCTTTGCCTCGTCCCAGGTTGCCTTGGAAAATGCCAACGCCGTGTCTGAAGGTGAGTCGGCCACCACCAAGTATCACAGGGAGATGTGGTTCCTTCCGGTATCCTCTCGGGCAGCTTGTGATAGTATTTGCCGTCCTTGGCCGGCTGTGAGTCTGATAGGTGTGAGGCAGTATTTGAGACATAACTGTGTAATTTGAAATAATTGTCTTCACAGAGCTCAAGATCTGGGAACTGTGATGGACCAAACTGTTGAAAGCAGACGATGTGGGATGTGTGTTACGTTTCCTTGTGGGCACTGTAGTGACAAATTATTTTTTGAGACAGAGTCTCTGCCCTCCAGGCTGGAGTGCAGTGGCAAGATCTGGGCTCACTGCAACCTCCGCCTCCCTGGTTCACGCGATTCTTCTGCCTCAACCTCCCGAGTAACGGGGATTACAGGCGTGTGCCAGCCACCACACCCGGCTAATTTTGTGTTTTTAATAGAGACGGGGTTTCACCATGTTGGCCAGGATGGTCTGGATCTCCTGACCTCGTGATCCCCCACCTCGGCCTCCCAAAGTGCTGAGATTACAGGCGCGAGCCACCGTGCCCGGCTTGACAAAGGGGGTTTCTTAAAGGGGGTTGGCTTAACACCTACCTGTGCCTGAGTTTTTTGCCTAAACACAATCAGGTGTCTAGTTTTCTGCTTTTTATTTGCTTGGAAAGGGCAGTTGGATAAACACAGGCTAAGAAAAAAAGGTTTGGTTCTAGAAGGCAAATTCTACTAAATGCTCAAGGGTGTGTTACAAGCTGCTATTTATTGCACGATTGTGCTATCAGACCTGAGTGCAATTGTTCCCATTGCTGGGCCAGGCTTTGCAGTGATGACTTGCGAATCAAATCTGTCAATCCCCTGAGTGCAGTCACTGATGTCTCCATGTCTCTGAGCAATGCCTGATGGGGAGGGGTCTAGGTATGCCATCCCAGCATGCTCCGTGGAAGCAGGGTAATCAGCTGAGGAGATGTTAGAATTGATCATCCTTCAGCCTGTGAGTGGGAACTGTGTTCTTTCCTCTGAGGGGTTGTTCATGAGGACCTCCGCCTGCTCTTGGAGACCCACCTGCCATCCAAAAAGAAGAAAGTACTCTTGGGAGTTGGGGATCCCAAGATTGGTGCTGCAATACAGGAGGAGTTAGGGTACAACTGCCAGACTGGAGGCGTCATAGCTGAGATCCTGAGAGGTGAGACCATCATCCGTTATATTCATGTTATCCTTGACATTTTCGGGGAGGAGGTTCTGGAAACGTGGGTGCTTGTTGTGACTTCTGGGAAGGCCCTGGACTTGGCTGGTGCCCATGGGTGCGGGAGCTAGCTCAGAGCCCCTTGTTGCTCACCGTCCTGCCCTCTTCTTAGGAGTTCGTCTGCACTTCCACAATCTGGTGAAGGGTCTGACTGATCTGTCAGCTTGTAAAGCACAGCTGGGGCTGGGACACAGCTATTCCCGTGCCAAAGTTAAGTTTAATGTGAACCGAGTGGACAATATGATCATCCAGTCCATTAGCCTCCTGGACCAGCTGGATAAGGACATCAATACCTTCTCTATGCGTGTCAGGTAAAGTGCAGGGGCCACCCATAATACTGGAGCCTTTGGTCTGTAGTTTAGCTAATTCTGAGTCTTGATGAGGACTGACCATCCTGTGGGTAGAACCATGTGGACTGGGGCTGGGTCTAGGCCTCCTGGTGCTTACCACAGGCTGTGTTCTTACACTGACTGTATAGAAAGAGGAGGTAGAGTAAACCTACCCTATATACACCTCAGCTCAGGCCCTGTGCCTGGTCTGTATTGTGAATGGGGGAACATAGAATGAAGATTTGTAGCTCTATGGTTTTTGATGAAGCAGCTGGGCCAGGGAGTGACTGTGGCTCTTTGCAGGGAGTGGTATGGGTATCACTTTCCGGAGCTGGTGAAGATCATCAACGACAATGCCACATACTGCCGTCTTGCCCAGTTTATTGGAAACCGAAGGGAACTGAATGAGGAAAAGCTGGAGAAGCTGGAGGAGCTGACAATGGATGGGGCCAAGGCTAAGGCTATTCTGGATGCCTCACGGTCCTCCATGGGTCAGTGCAGAGCCTGGCAGCCTGCATAAGGTGTGGGGCTCTGAATATCTGGCCTCCTGCATTCACACTTGGTTTTTCCTAGGCATGGACATATCTGCCATTGACTTGATAAACATCGAGAGCTTCTCCAGTCGTGTGGTGTCTTTATCTGAGTACCGCCAGAGCCTACACACTTACCTGCGCTCCAAGATGAGCCAAGTAGCCCCCAGCCTGTCAGCCCTAATTGGGGAAGCGGTGCGTCACGGGACACAAAGATGGGAGAATAAGGACTGTTGCCATGTGCACCTGCACTGCTGTATTTCTTCACCCACTATGTCTTCCCTAGTTGTGCTTGATGGGGAGGGGGGGAGCAGGGCTGTCATGCAACTCGCAGGTCAGCAGTTCGTTTCTCTGACTGCTTCCTTGACTCTTTCCAGGTAGGTGCACGTCTCATCGCACATGCTGGCAGCCTCACCAACCTGGCCAAGTATCCAGCATCCACAGTGCAGATCCTTGGGGCTGAAAAGGCCCTGTTCAGGTACCAGTGAGGGCACCTGCCCACAATCAGGTGCCACTTCTGGTGCCCACTGCTTGTTGGGGGATCACGGTGATGGCTGACCAGGGCTCCCTGACCTATACAGGCCTCTGCTATGGGGGTGATGGCCAGTCCTGGTGTCTGAGTGATTCCCAGGGCCCAGCAAAGGGACCAAGTCTCCAGGTCAGCGACATCGGATGCCTTCCCTCTGCCTCTGGGAGCTATGGGTTGGCATGCATTGGGGTAGAGATCCAATCTGGCCTGAGGCTCACTCAGGACTTGGGGGTGAGAGGAGGGGAGGAGCTGAGCTGCCTTGGCTAATGGGGTTGAAATTTCTGATCTTAAACTCTCCACTGAATATTTTCTCAGAGCCCTGAAGACAAGGGGTAACACACCAAAATACGGACTCATTTTCCACTCCACCTTCATTGGCCGAGCAGCTGCCAAGAACAAAGGCCGCATCTCCCGATACCTGGCAAACAAATGCAGTATTGCCTCACGAATCGATTGCTTCTCTGGTATGGGTGGGGGGGCTGGCAGTTGTGAGAAGGGGCTGGCTGGCTGGCTGGGTGGGGAGGCTCACAACCATAGCTTCCACGATGATGGCAATATTTTTCGTCAACAGCAGTTCACCTAGTGAGTGTTGAGACTCTGGGTCTGAGTGAAGCTGAGGGCAGAGGGAACACAGGGTGGGGGTAGTTTTTCTCTTTGGGCTGACAGGCTTTGTTACTCACGCACATCCAGAGGTGCCCACGAGTGTATTTGGGGAGAAGCTTCGAGAACAAGTTGAAGAGCGACTGTCCTTCTATGAGACTGGAGAGATACCACGAAAGAATCTGGATGTCATGAAGGAAGCAATGGTTCAGGTTAGTTGGGCTTTGCTGGGCGTGGAGAGGCATAGCTAGCTGTTGGAGGTGATGAACTGTCTGAGCCTGACCTCGTAGAGTGGAGGCAAAAAAAACTGATTTAATGAGCCTGATCCAATAATGCCAGAAAGGAGTCCTCAGAGCACCAGAGGTCTTCAGGCCCTTTTAGCACTTTTCTTCGACCAGGCAGAGGAAGCGGCTGCTGAGATTACTAGGAAGCTGGAGAAACAGGAGAAGAAACGCTTAAAGAAGGAAAAGAAACGGCTGGCTGCACTTGCCCTCGCATCTTCAGAAAACAGCAGTAGTACTCCAGAGGAGTGTGAGGTCAGTAGGCAGCATGACCCTGGCAGAGATCCTAGGTTGTAGGATTTTCAACAGCAGAATAAAGGATGTGCTGCATCAAGCCATGGTCTTGAGTCCAGGCTTTTGGACTGAAACAAGGACCTGAAACATCTAAAACTACCTCTTGATTCTATAGGAAGGATATAGGTGCTGAACTTGCTCAAGAGCCCAGAGAGCTGGTTGTAGCTCACACCTGTTCCCTGGGCATGTGTGTTCTGTCCTCGGCTGCTTCCCAGGAGTCCTCAACCTGGGGTAGTGTAAATTCCTGCTCTGCTTATTCTCAGACGTGTGTCCGGAGGTGGTAGTGTTTCACAGTGGGGATGGGGGCAGGGAGGTCCCCAATGTGCTAAGCTACAATCATTCTCCCTGAGATTTTCATTTAGCACCCAGTTTCTTAAACAGTGTTTCAGGGCCCTCTCTGGAACTTGGCATGAGGGTTCTGTTGTGACCAGCATGGTGGGTGTTTCTTTAGGTTTTTTTTTAATGGGCTGAGGTAATTTCTCATTACATGTTTTCCTTCTAATTTGGGACAGTCTTTGGGATGGAGTTCTAAAGTTAATACCTACACAATTAAACTATGCCAGAAACACTGGGCAGTGTTAGTAACTACACAGTTTTCCCTGCTTTGGCTACTTAATTGCTGAAGATGTAATGGGGGTGTGTGTGATGGCACTGTTCTCACAGCCTGTTCCCCTGTCCTTCCCTTTAGGAGACGAGTGAAAAACCCAAAAAGAAGAAAAAGCAAAAGCCCCAGGAGGTTCCTCAGGAGAATGGAATGGAAGACCCATCTATCCCTTTCTCCAAACCCAAGAAAAAGAAATCTTTTTCCAAGGAGGAGTTGATGAGTAGTGATCTTGAAGAGACCGCTGGCAGCACCAGTCTTCCCAAGAGGAAGAAGTCTTCACCCAAGGAGGAAACAGTTAATGACCCCGAAGAGGCAGGCCACAGAAGTGGCTCCAAGAAAAAGAGGAAATTCTCCAAAGAGGAGCCAGTCAGCAGTGGGCCTGAAGAGGCAGCTGGCAAGAGCAGCTCCAAGAAGAAGAAAAAGTTCCATAAAGCATCCCAGGAAGATTAGAATGCAAATGGACATTCTCTGGGAGGTGGGACACACCATAGCCCAAGGTGACATCTTCCACCCTGTGCCCTGTTCCCCAATAAAAACAAATTCACAAAAGTTGGTTCATGTTCTTTATTGGACACCTTACATGAGTATGGACAAGGCCTATGGGTGGGGCAAGGCAGCAATGACAGCCTCAGTGAAGTCATGGCAAGTAGCATAGCCACCCATGTCAGAGGTTCGAACCTGTGGGGGAGAATCATCATCATCCATGTGGCCTGGGTTCCAGCCTAACAATTCCCATCACCACCCAACAGTCTCCCCTAAGGAAGCGGGCCCAAGGACAACCTAGGCTCTACCCAGCAAGGTGACCATGGTCCACTGCCTAGAGGCACAAGGTCTCTTCCCTGGTGCACTGCACTGAAGGGTATGGGGAGTGTGGTCCTTGCAAGGCTGGAAGAAATAAAGGGCTCTAGCTCCCATGGGGGTGCAGGTGACCGATGACAGACTTGATGAAGTCGGTTGTGGTGCTGTAGCCGCCCATGTCTCGAGTCCGCACCTACAGCCACCACCGGCAACAGCCGTGGGGAGGGAGAAAAGAGAGCCCATGAAGGGAGGTAGGGCAATGTGATTGAGGAAATGGAATCCAAGAATGCGTGACAGCCAGAAAAAAGAGGCAATGCACAGGAATGGAAGGAGGAGCCAGGTTGGGAAGCACATGGACCTGCCCACTCCTCTTAAGCCACTATTAGCTGTGCTGCAGCCAGAGCAGGACAGGAGGCTGAGCAGGCAAAGATGATGGGAAATGCAGATCAGAGGCGCGATGTGGCTACCTTCCTTGGAAGAAATAGAGACAAGACCAGGTGGAAGGAAAGAATCGCAGCGGAAAGGAGATGGGTGTGAAGGTGAAGCTGATGCTTCAGCCTGCCTGTATCCCTTGCTGTTCCACCCCCAAGGAGAGCTGCAAGTTCTGCATTCAGATGGCCCATGAAAAGGGCAGTGGATGGAGCAGGAAAGAGGGAACAGCAGATGGGATCTAAGAGGCAAAAGAGATCAAGAGGATGAAACAGCCAAGAGAAGGGAGGTGAAGAACAGCCCTGAGAGGGATGCAGGGATGTCAGGGAGCAGATGTTCTGGGAACCTGGGGGAAAAAGAGACCCCCATTCAGGTTCCCCAGAGAGTAGTACCGAGGTGCTGACCCCAGAACTACTCTAAACCCTGAAGCCACCACTACTCTTCTAAACTCACCTTGCCAACTTTGATCACCTTCTTCACTGCATCTGCAATCATGTTGGAGTGATACTCAAGACTGTGGATATGGACAGGAAGAAACTGTGACTCCCCCAAGACACCTCCCACGAATTTCCCCACCGGGCTCCTCCTCACAACACCCAACCACTGCCCACAGCCTCCCGTGACCTACTTGAGATGCCGCAACATGTTGGAAGCCGACAGCAGCATGGCTGTGGGATTGGCTATATTCCTGCCCACTGCCTGGGCAAATGGGTGCCGGGCACCCTGTGGAAAGAGGGGCAGGCTAGACACTGGGAGGAGCCAGGAAGGGTACACAGAGGCTTAGGTTGGAAAAGGACATTATGGGAGGGGAAGGTCAGGCCAGGGTCACTGAAAAGAGGCATGGTGGGCAGCGTGGGGGAAGAACAGGCTAAGATCACTTAGGAAGTGGAGACACTGGGATGGGGGAGAAATGGCAGACTTGAGGTCAGAGAAAGGGCACGTAGGAAGGGCCGAAGGAGAAAGCAGCCTCACTCACCGTCTCAAAGACTGCATATTCTGCACTATAGCTCTCACCAGGGACCACACCAGCTCCCCCAACCAGGCCAGCAGCCAGATTGTCAATAATGTTCCCATAGAGATTGGGCATCACGAGCACATCAAACTGGTAAGGATTCTGCACCAGCTAGAGGATGAAAGGTGTAGGCATGAAGTAAATTCCACTCCCCACCCTCCTCCTCCGCCCCGTGAGTGGAGATGTGGGGAGGCCTCACCTGCATGCAGCAGTTGTCTATGATCATTGTCTCAAATTTGATTTTGGGGTACAGTTCAGCAACTTCCTCGCAGCACTGCAGGAACAACCCATCCCCAAGTTTCCTGTCCATGGGCCAAAGGGGACAGAATCAGCCGAGAAAGTACAGGGGCTACCTTCCCAGGAACCCATCCTACACAAAGCCATGTCCCTCACATGATGTTGGCCTTGTGGACAGCAGTGACCTTGCTCCGCCCTTTCTTGGTGGCATAGTCAAAGGCGAACTTTGCAATCCGCTGAGACTTGGCTCGTGTGACAATCTTCAAACACTCAATCACACCCCTTGCACTCTGGGTAAGAAGACAGCAGCAGCTAGGTGACACTGGGAAGGGAAACAAGGAGCTCCACCTCTCTCCCACCTTCATCCTTGCCCTTCCCCAGTTTCTGGGGCCTCACCTCATGTTCCAGAGAGCTGTACTCCCCTTCGGTCTGCTCTCGAATGATCACCAGGTCTAGATTGTTGTGCCGAGTCATATACCCAGGAAGTGACTTCACATGGACTACGTTGGCAAACAAGTCCAACTTACGCCTGAGGGTGGGCAGGGCCATCAGCTCCGCTCCTGGTGCCCTGACACCTCTCGACCATTCGCCCCACCCAGACCACCTACCTCAGCCGCATATCATAGGAGGCTAGCTCCCCCTTATACTCCATCGGGGTATGAATCTTTCCTGTGTAAACAAAGTGGGAAAAGGAGTGTCAGGCACTGGCCAAGCCCAAGGGAACCCAGACCAGTGTCTAACCCCCTTAGGAACATAATGTAACCCAGACTCCCATCTCCCATTCCCAAATCAGTAATTTTTAAATTGTTGCTGGGGGCAAGGGACAAAAGAGAATAATGTGGTTACAGCCAGAAACATTTCATCTATTGCTGTGTGTGTGTGTGTGTGTGTGTGTGAGAGAGAGAGAGAGAGAGCGAGAGGGGGGGCGGAGAGAGAGACAGGGTCTCACTCTGTCGCCTAGAGTGCAGTGGTGCTATCTGGGCTCACTGCAACCTCCACCTCCCAAGTTCAAGCAATTATTCTGCCTCAGCCGCCCCAGTAGCTGGGATTACAGGCATGTGCCACCACACCTGGCTAACTTTTTGTATTTTTAGTAGAGGCGGGGGTCTCACCATATTGGCCAGGCTGGTCTTGAACTCCTGACCTCAAGTGATCCGCCCACCCCAGCCTTAATGCTTTATTTTTAGTCAACATATTTAATTTAGGCTGAAACTTCAAAATGGAGAATGGATTTTTTTCTATTTATCAAAAAAGAGCCTGGGTTTAATAAGAAGTTGAAAAACAATGCTAGCAGATCTGTGATCTTTTAGATGTTTCTGTGCCTTCTCCTTATTTGACATTTTTTAATCCAACAACTACTGATGAATGTCAATTATATGTCAGGCAATAAGGATAGCAACTAAAACCATACAACTCCTGCCCTCGAGAAGCAAACGGTACACTGGGAAAGACAGATAATATGAAAGACATGATAAATACCATGGGAAACTTGCATAGCAACACAAAGAGGAAATCCTCTCCAGTAATATCAGGATATAGCACAGAACAGCTAGCACTTCAGTCACGCCTTAAGTTATGTGAGCACAATGGGCTCAATAGTGATCCCCGAAATGACTGTCCATGCCGTGAGCCCCAGAACCTATATATGTGACCTTATTTGGGAAAAGAGGCTTTGCAGATGTAACTAAGTTAAGGATCTTGAGAAAAAATCGTCCTGGATGAGGGTTGGCCCTAAATCCAGTGATAAATATTTAAGGAGAAAAATGATACAGAGATAGAGAAGGAAGAAAACCACAGATACTGGGGTGATGCATCTACAAGTCAAAAAACAGCAGGAGCCACCAGAAGAGGCAAGAAAGGATTCTCCCCTAAACCTTCAGAGGGAGCAGGGCCCTGCCAACCCCTTAATTTCAGACTTATGACCTCCAGTACTGTGAGAGAATACATTTCTGTTATGATAGGCCACCAGGTTCATGGTAGTGTGTTATGGCAGCTATGGGAAACTAATACAGTGAATGAGTGAGAAGGACTCTAACAGGTAGCTTCAAAGAATGAATGTTCTGGGTACAGGGAACAGTATAAGTCAGGTAGTACATATTTGGCATCTAACACACAATCTAGTGTGATTGAAGCACAGAACAAGAGTTGTGGAACCAAGGCAGAAAAGTTAAGGGCCAACTTATAAAGTACTGACTTTCCTATGGTAAGGCTGACCTGGAAAAGTCAGGCTGTTCTTTCCAAGAAAAGAGATATGGAAGATGAACTGTAGGGGCAGAACTAGAAGCCAAAAAATTCAAATGAGGAGATTAAAGCATGGAAGACAAAAGAAAAGGGGCAGCTAGGCAGGGTGGCTCATGCCTATAATCCCAGCACTTTGGAATGCGGAGGTGGGTGGATCACTTGAGGTCAAGAGTTCGAGACCTGCCTGGCCAACATGATAAAACCCTGCCTCTACTAAAAATTCAAAAATTAGCCTGGGCATGGTGGCTCACGCTTGTAATCCCAGCACTTTGGGAGGCCAAGGCGGGCAGATCACAAGGTCAGGAGTTCAAGACCAGCCCGACCAACATGGTGAAACCCCACCTCTACTAAAAATACAAAAATTAGGCGTGGTGGCACACTCCTGTAATACCAGCCAGCTACTCAGGAGGCTGAGGCAGGAGAATCGCTTGAATCCGGGAGGCGGAGGTTGCAGTGAGCCAAGATGGCGACATTGCACTCCAGCCTGGGCAACAGAGCAAGACTCTGTTTTAAACAAAACAAAACAAATACAAAAATTAGCTGGGTGTGGTGATGCACACCTGTAGTCCCAGCTACTCGGGAGGCTGAAGCAGGAGAATCGCTTGAACTGGAGATGGGGAGGTTGCAGTGAGCAGAGATCGCACCACTGCACTCCAACCTGGGCAACAGAGTGAGACTGTCTCAAAAAAAAAAAAAAAGAAAGAGAGAGAGAGGGGGAGAGGGGAAGAAAGGAAGAGGGGAAGGGAAGGGAAGAAAAGTGGGAGGGAGGGAGGGAAAGAAAACAAATGAAAAGAAAGAGAAGAGAAGAGAAGAGAAGGGGCAGCTAGAAGTGGTATTCCAGAAATGCAATGAACAAGATTTGATGACAGTTGATGTAGCCTCAGGACAGACTCAGAACCCCTGGAACTTTTCTGCATAGACAGCTGACATGATCTCTCAACTCCTGGGTTCCCAATGGGAAAGAACAAATGTCCAAATACCAGCGGTGGTTGCCCTGGAGAGTTAATATAATTGCATACCATGTGGGGAGAAGGGCTTAATAAACATTTGATCATTTGATTTTAAATGGCACATGGACAAGTGGCAAGAGGGCACACATACCAATGATGGCCACTTTATTCTCCTTCATGGAACTCAGCACCTGCTCCAGCTTCTCCTCAGATGCCATATTCTGCACCTCACTCAGGTGGTGCTCCTGGAACTCCACTGGGACAGCGGCAGCCTTCAGAGACAGGTTCCCAAAACATCACAGTCAAGGCCAAATCCTTTCCAACCCACTACTGTCCTCTACTGTCTGATTCCCGAGGCCACTCACCTTGAACACCTCCTTGACGGCGTGCATCAGCTCAGGTCCCACACCGTCTCCCGGAAGCATGGTCACGGGAAAGGAGCCCTCCACCCTCACGTCCTCGGCCTTAATTGGGGGAAGAAGGGAGAAGCAAAGATAGAGCTGGGGCGGGAGAAGGGGTCCTGGGAGTAGGGAAGTGGGGAGACCCGGGAAGGATGGAGAAAAGCCAGGGGAGGGAGCAGCGAGGAAGGGGCAGGGTCGTGAGCGAGACCCCAGCCAGATTCATGCATACCTGGCTCCGCGATGCAGCGTGCGCCGCGGCCGAGGTACTCAGACCTCTCCATGCCCCAGGGTTCCCGGCGGAGACCAACGCCTACAACAGGGACACACAAGCCTGTAAGGTCAGATTTCAGACATCCAGACCCCGAACACCACAGTTGACTTTGCCCTGTTTAGGAAACCCTAGGAAAAAGTCTCCGCTCCCTTGCCCGCCCCTGCCCCACATGTCCTGGGCGCTCACTCGGGTCAGCCAGCGGACACCGCTCAGTGCCGCCATGTTTCCCGCAGAAAGTCGCGTGAGAAGTGACGCCTGAAGCTGGCGCGGCCCTCTACCCCGACTTCCGGCCTGTGCTGGGTGCCTGGTACTTCTCTCTCTGCGCCAACCAGCGCTGCTTGCTCACGCCTGTTTCTCCTCTTTCTTGCCGGTGGGGAGGTCATGGGATGCGCGAGCACTTTGTCTCTTGATTTATTTTCAGTCGCCATATTTAATCTACGTGGAAACTTCAAAATAACATTGGGGGGAAAATGTAACGTCATGTTTATCAGACGAGGAGCTGAGCTTAACAAGAGATTGAGAGAAAATCCTTGGGAAGCTGTTAAAATTGTGTCAATGCGTTTGTTATTCTTTTAACCAGTACTCACCAAATACCTGTATGTCAGGCTCTGCAGGAACACAGTACAGCCATGGGAGGTGTGTGTGGGGTTTCTCCACCAGTCTCCGAGAGTGCCCAGTACCTCTGTATTACCCGTTGCCTCGTAGTTTTTTTCTTAAAGGGTCTTTTTCTTTGCTGTGACAGTTATTTCCCTAATAGTGTGTCCCAGACTTGAACTCCCCAGGACAGGCCCATAACTAGTGCCAGAAATGAGTTCAAGCGTGTAAGTGTGACTAAAGGGAATTTCAGACTGATCCTTAAAGTAACAATCATAAAAAATAAAAAGAGTTTGGACAACATAGGGAGACCTCGACTCTACAAAAAATTTAAAAATTAGCCAGGCGTGGTGACACACCTGTAGTCCTAGCTACTTAGGAGGCGGAGGTGGGAGGATCACTTAAGCCCAGGAGGTGGAAGCTGTAGCGAGCCCTGATGGCACCACTGCACTCCAGCTTGGGAGACAGGGCGAGACCCGTCTCAAAACAACTCCAGTCACGGTATTAGGTGTGTACAATTGACACACCTAAAGACAAACTGATACAGGAAGACTTGCCTCACCCACTCTTCTGGAAGTATGGTTTTGGATCACCTATGCAGATGGACCAGAGCACTTGTTAAAAATGTAGGCTTGTGAGTCATACCTCATTTGCTGAATCCAAATCTCTGTGTCGCGGGCCCAGAAAATATATCTCTAACAGACTTCCCCTGTTAATACATGCTGAAATGTAAGAACCGCTAACTAGGTTCTCTGTGATAAGTTCCTCCTTCGTATATACCTCAACCAGCCAAAAAGGTGGCAAGGCAAAGGCATTCCCAGTGGTTCTAATCTTGGGGAACAAGCATAGGCTTTGTGCCTCCTCTGCAATCCTTTAGGTGAGACATTCTCCTATATAGTAGTAGGATGAGAAGATTAAATTAGATAATGTGTAAGAGTTTTGAACAAATGAAAAGTACTGGGTAAATACAGAGTTGTTATTATAGCTAATATAATATTAATATAACACACTCCTCTATTTCCATTCATATATCCCATGAAACCAACCAAAACCAGAGAGCACCACTGTCTTGCTCCCATAGACTCCCTAGCCCAAGCTTCCACATCAGTATTACCATTCGTCACCATTTTTCTTCTCCAAATATTTCTCCTTCTGACTAAGAAAAAAAATGGAAGATTTACGAACTCTGCCTCCCGGGTTCCAGCGATTCTCCTGCCTCCGCCTCCCTGGTAGCTGGGATTACAGGCATAAGCCAACACACCCGGCTAATTTTTGTATTTTTATTAGCGACAGGGTTTCACCGTGTTGGCCAGGCTGGTCTCAAACTCCTGACCTCAGGTGATCCGCCCGCCTCAGCCTCCCAAAGTGCTGGGATTACAGGCATGAGCCACCGCACCCAGCTAGATTTACTCTTTTTAAAAAACTACATTTTCTGTTACTTCAGGAAATTTAGGATAAGAAAGAAGAGAGATGTACCATCTTAATCCAATCTCTGATAGCAATCTAATTTTCTTGAGGATAACTACATCATTTCCATCCCTGCACAGACTTGTTCCCCACCTAACACTCAAAAAATATCTGCTAACTGATAAAACACTAAGTGGCTGTCACCAGGGTGAAAGGAACTGATGGAGGTTACCAGTGGACACAGGCCAAGAAAATGAGACCATTATTGTCTGAAGGCCACTGTGTTCTCCCCATGAACTCAGCAAGCTCTCCTGGCCTTCAAGTCCCCATGAGGGCGTCTTTGACCAATACTGCCTGATAATGGAGAAATCCAGTCAGGACCTTTGAAAAGTTTCTTAACCAATCTCCTGGGGGATGGGAGGGAGGTTATACCATCTTGTTTTCTTCTAACTGTTGTGGAGTCTCCCCTGTCTAGCACAAGAGGCCATAATGATGGATAAGCTGCCTGTACTTGAGTGTTCAGTGTGAAGCTGAGTGACTTGAATGTCTGCTTCCCAGGCCTGCAAATCCTCCAGCACAGGAGTCCTAACTTGGGGTCTACAGAATCCCCTAGGTGTCCATGAATAGGAATCAGTACTGTGAACCCGGATGGGGAAAACCAAAAATCACATCTTTATTCTCACCTCTAACTGAAATTTAGCATTTCCTTTCATTATGAATGCAGGTCACAGATTACAGTGCTACCTGTAGTACTCTTGACTTTGTGAATCATAAAAAATATAGATATTTTCATACCACATTTTAGTCATAGTAGATATCTTAAAGTATTACTTTAATCCCTATTTTTACATTATTTGACCCAATGCTAGATTGTGTTATTTAATGAATTAATAAAGCAGCAAACATAGTAATATGTTACAAGGTAGCTTTTATTCCTTTTTCTTTTTCTCTTTTTAGAGAGATGGTTTTAGTCTGTTGCCCAGGCTACTGTATGATCATGGCTCACTGTAAATCAAACTCCTGGGCTCAGGAGATCCTCCCACCTCAGCCTCCCAAGTAGCTGGAACTACAGGCATGCGCCACCATGCCTAGCTAATTTTAAAATATTTTGTAGACATGAGGTCTTGCCATGTCGCCCAGGCTTGTCTTAATCATATTTGTCTTGTCTTGTAATTCTATTTATTTTGTGTATTTAAAAGCCTCTTCTTTTTTTTCTTTTTTGGAGACAGAGTCTTGCTCTGTTGCCCAGGCTGAAGTGCAGTGGCGTGATCTTGGCTCACTGCAAGCTCCGCCTCCCGGGTTCACACCATTCTCCTGCCTCAGCCTCCCAAGTAGCTGGGGTTACAGGTGCCTGCCACCACGCCCAGCTAATTTTTTTTATATTTGTAGTAGAGACGGGGTTCACCGTGTTAGCCAGGATAGTCTTGATCTCCTGACCTCGTGATGTGCCCACCTCGGCCTTCCAAAGTGTTGGGATTACAGGCGTGAGCCACCATGCCCGGCCTAAAAGCCTCTTCTAAGAAAGATTCCACAGGCTTCACCAGCCTTCCAAAGAGGTCCACTGCACACAAAAGTTTCAGAATTTCTGGTGTGTGAGGCCTACTGGATCTTTTTCTGAAACCATGAACAATCAAAAGAGTAATATAACAAATGACAATTCCTTGAAAATTAAAGTCTGAAAAAGCTTCTTGGGAGAAAGAATTTGATCTGTGGTTGAAAGGATAAACAGAATTACAAAGAAGAAGTGATTACAGTCAGGGAAAATGGAAATGTAAGCAAAGGTACTGTCTCAGATCAACTGCCCTAGAAGCGGAGCCCAAGACAGGGATGCTATGCAATTGACCTGTTGAAGGAGTGCTCTCAGGAGAAACACATCAGAAGGTGAATGAGCAGAAGATGGCAGGGGAAGGAGCTCAACGAGATGTGGCCTCAGCTGGAGTCCACCTCAGCCCCATCTCCTGGGGAGCTCTGGAGCATGAATGACAACTCAAGGTTGTCACAATTTGAGACAAAGCTTAACAACCCTGCTTCACCCCTGCGTGGCATAGGTCAGGGACAACCCTTCAGAGAAGGAGGAAGCTGTGAGCCATTAGTGGCCAACACCTGAAGCAATTGGGGGAATGGATACACCAGCTGGGCAAAAGGATCTGGCCAAGGCAGCCACTACCTTGTGGAGGTGACAGTGAGCATGGTATGCTGACGAACAGTGAGGCGGGCAGACATATTTGAGGAGATGAGTTATAGTAAGGATTGGTGAGTAAGTAAGGACCCTGTTGAGGTTGGTGACCGTTAAATTTATTGTGGTGCAATTGTGTGTGATTTCATGGTGAAAGCAAACACTTGAGTTCATCCAAAAGTGATATTTTGCTAGAGAGAGGTACAAGGGAGTTGAGAGTGTTGGCAAAATGGGATCAGGAGGTAAGTGAAGACAGAAGAGATCTAATCAATAGGCAGGTGAGGAAAGAATCAAAAACCCCCAAAATATTCAAAGAGTAGTATTTGTGGGGGTCATTGAGCAACTAAGATGGGAAGAGAGGATGCTGCTTCCACCAGTGGTTTTGGAGGTGGAGCAGATGCTGGTGATAATGAAGTCCCAGATGGGAAATGAGAGTGGATGCCAAGGAGAGCTCAAGGACCCTGCAGATGAGGACTCAGACCCACAATATTGATGAGGCATCCATATCACCATGGGTGTCAATGAGGATAGTGGCCTCAGCTGAGGCAGGGGAAAGCTGGGATCCAAATGCCATAGTCTTCTCATGATAAGCAAAAGAGACGAGGAGGTGAGAGATGGCAGAGAATGAGAGAGGTGATATCAGTTACCAGAAAGAGCCCCTAAAAGGCAACACTTTTTTTTTTTTCCTGTTAGTTTTAATATAAACTTTTGCTTTAGTACTTTTAGACAACCCTCTTTTAAAATATATATAATATATATGTGTGTCTGAAGGTTCTTACCACACCAACCACAGCCCCAATCTTTTTGCCCTAACCTCAGAATCAGTTAGTTGTCCCCTTTAAAACCCTTTTCTTACACACACACACACACACACACACACACACACACACGGAATATATAGTATTGTTTTTGGTGTATGAGTGTGTGCTTCAGAATAAATGGTTTCATACTCTATATACTTACTATTCCATAATTTACTTTTTTCACTTAACACTGTATCTCAGATGTCTTAGAGAATGAGCAGCCTCATTGTTTTATTCTGTAATATGAATTAACTAAATTTATGGAGCCTTTCTTTTTTTTTTTTGTTTTTTGTTTTTTGTTTTTTTGAGACATAGTCTTACTCTGTCATCCAGGTTGGAGTACAATGGCATGAACTCGGCTCACTGCAACCTCCGCCTCCCGGGTTCAAGCAATTCTCTTGCCTCAGTAGCTGGGATTACAGGCACACGCCACCACGCCCAGATAATTGTTTGTATTTTTAGTAGAGACAGAGTTTCACCATGTTGGCCAGGCTGGTCTCAAACTCCTGACCTCAGGTGAGCCGCCCGCCTCAGCCTCCCAAAGTGCTGGAATTACAGGCGTGAGCCACCAAGCCCGGCCTGAGGCTTTCTTAAATTGATGACAGTGTGGTTTCCAGTTTGGGCCATTATCAGCAACATTGCTGTGTACATCTCTTTATGTCAGGGTGTCCAGTCTTTCAGCTTCCCTGGGCCACACTGGAAGAAGAATTGTCTTGGGCCACACATAAAATACACTAACACTGACGGTAGTTCATGAGCTAAAAAAAAAAAAAAAAGGCAAAACAACTTATGTATTTTACAAAAGTTTATGAATTTGTGTTGGGCTGCATTCAAAACTGTCCTGGGCTGCAATCAAAATTTGTCCTTGGTTGGACAAGTTTGCCGTACATCTTTCTTTGTACACACGATGAATGTCACAGAGAGCCCACAAAGCAGCTGTACCATGTGTATGTTCCAGGTATGAATATGTTCTGCTGCAATAAACAGAAAACTCATTAAACAAATATGGAGCTGGTGTGGTGGCTCATGCCTGTAACCCCAGCACTTTAGGAGGTCGAGGCGGGCAGATCACCTGAGGTCAGGAGTTCGAGACCAGGCTGACCAATATGGAGAAACCCCATCTCTACTAAAAATACAAAAACAAATTAACCGGGCATGGTGGTGCATGCCTGTAATCCTGGCTACTTGGGAGGCTGAGGTAGGAGAATCGCTTGAACCCGGGAGGCAGAGGTTGCAGTGAGCTGAGATTGCACCATTGCACTCCAACCTGGGCAACAGGAGGGAAACTTCGTCTTAAAAAACAAAGTAAAACAAATATGGGTTGTTTTTTCCCCCCTCACCTCTGAAGGTAAGGAGTTACTGAGATTGTTTTAGCTGCTTGGTAATGCCCCAGGGATCCAGGCTGTCTTCCCTTCTGCTCTGCCAGCCTTAGTGTGTTGCCTGATGTCCTCATCCTTGGTGCTTCATAGTCACAATATGACTGCTGCTGCTCTGGACATCACTTCTGCATTCAGAGATGGAAAGGGAGAAATAACAGTCCCAGCCACAACCACTCTTCTTATCAGAAATGTAAAAACATTCCCAGAAGATTTCTTAGGACTCACAGGCCGGAACCAAATCCATGACCACTCCTACTGCAAGGGAGTCTAGGAAAGAGAGGAATAGATTTCCCTGGCTGGCTTAAACGAATGCTTCACATCCCAGCTGCACATTTTAATCACTTGGGAGCTCTAATATCTATCTGGGCTTCACCTCCAGAGGTTTTGATATAATTGGTCTGAGATGGGGCCTAGACACTGCTGTTTTGATAAGCTCCATAGATGACTCTCAAAACTGACCAGAGTTGAGAGACACTGGGTTCCTCCAATCATGATCCTTCATTTAGGGCTGGGCAGGTATATCAGTTAGGATTATATTCAGTTGCAAGTGACAATATACAACATACCAAGCCTAAACAAGAGAGGAGTTTATTTATTGCTCACATAAAAGTTCAGCAGGCTGAGTGCAGTGGCTCATATTTGTAATCTCAGAACTTTGGGAGGCTGCGGCAAGAGAAAGCCAGGAGGTTGAGACCAGCCTGGGCAACATAATGAACCCTCTACCTCTACAAAAATTAAAAAAAAAAAAAAAA